TCACGCAAAAGCACCATTAGAGCTTTTTAGAGAAGTTCGAAATTTAGGCTTCTCTGAAATAACTTTTTAAAACATTTTTTTTTTTCTAAAAGTTCTTTTTGACGTTAGCCAAACAACCATTGTTTAAAACAAGAGCACTTTGGACCTCCAAAAGTTCTTTTAGGCTCTAGAGAACCCCTTTCAATTGCTGTCTAAAATGACAATTAGGTCATACTATATAATCACAAAGCTGGGAGTCAGCCATAGCCATCATAATTTAGCCCACAAGAAGTTACAACCCATGTATACAATGTAGCCCTGAACTTTTACAATTATAGCTCTGTCAGGTTGGATCTATTGGACACCAGTTTAGTATGGTACAGAGGATTCTTTACAAAGGCAAATAAGAGTGTTCTAATTTGTACTACAATTAAACCTTTATCTCACCATATCTATTCTACTTTAGAAACTTGAGGAAAGACAAAAAGAAATTCATGAGGGAGAACATTCTTAATTTTTTATTATTCATACGCTAAATGATACTTGCAAAATGAAACCCTTTATATTCAGGCGAGAGTCATTTTATTCAAATGATATTTTAAAATGCATACACAAGGCCCAAGAATCTGCTTTTATAGTACATGACAAACTTAAAGAGCACTGAATTTGCCTTTTTTTATTTATTTATTTATTTTAACAATACAACACCTTACTAATGCAAGGAATATGTGCATTATTTCAAGACGACACACTGGGTGAACCTTTAACACAATAACAATATGATAGCGAGAATCTAGGAACACTAAAGTCTAAAGTCATGGATTTCCGTAATTGCTTTTAGTGCTGTTTCTCCATTTGTCATGTGGTTTGGCCATGTCAGTACCATCAACGATCATTTTCAAGTAAGTAGGGTTCTTATAAGTTTTCAAAAGAATCTGTAGCAAATTGTGTGTCCTGATTGGAACGGAATCCTTAGGGAAAGTGTAGGAAGTCTACCAATTTCATGGACGATTTTAATCCCATATCTTTCTCAAGATCTTTGTAGAGTTACTTTCTAAGGGCCATTTCTTCGGGATCTGTTCTTATAGTATCTGGTTGTAATTTCAAGGCTTGTGTAAGCCTTCCAAGATAGTTGTCCCCGAGGCTGCTGAAAATAGTAATTGTTATGCAAATTTAGGGTGCTAATTTCTACTTTTTAGAATGGTTCTAGTGGCTACATTTATGTTAAGTCTGGTCGTTCAAGCTGCTGTACCATTTAACTATGGTATGATATTGTCAGATCCGAACATAGGACTACTTTATTTGTTTGCCATATCTTCGCTAGGTGTATATGGAATTATAATAGCATGTCGGTCTTGTATCCTCGAACTCAACTAGCATTTTTCATATAAGCATCAATGTTTTATCTGATTCTAGCATAATCAAGATTCATCTATGCCCATGGGACTAATCTTCCATGTTTGGCCAAATATCTGGAGGAATTTTAGAATTGATTTCGCCATTGCTGTCTGAAACTCTCCCAATCTGCATGGAGATTAAAATTTAAAAGGAAGCATTGCATATTCTTTAACATATGAAAAATTATCGTAAGTTCCTATTTTTGTAAAGTATCCTTGTCTTTGGGAAAAAAAATGGCATGACGAATCTCTTGGGAAGTTTTTATATTTTTGAGCTTCAAAGAAAATCCTTTAAAACTATTCTAAAAACTTGCGAGAATACTCATGACTTTTTGATCCCTCCTGAATGACAAAAATATGTTTGTGTTTTGTTCATGTTGAAATTAATTGGTTATACTTAAGTTCCTAGCCTATACCATAAGAAGTATAACAACTCTTTTGAAAAAGAACTTGGAGATTGATAGGTTAAATATGGAAGAAAACCTAGGCCTCTTAAAGTTTGAATTCCAGTTTTAGTAATTACCAATGACCGGTATTTAAGTATCAGTTCTTTGGTTCTGAAATGAAGAGTCCTGGTTCCGTGGAGAGAATGAAGTTCTAGAGGAAGATTGTTGACGATTCATCATCTAAGCAATGGGAATATGGATAGAATTGACATGTGATAATTTTGGTCGTGAGGGAAGATTTTTATGTGTTCTACATTAAAGTCAAAATTCGAAAACTATTCAGCCCATCGGAGAAGTTGAGTTGGAACTTGTTTATTTTTTAAGGTCATCATGTTTGGAAATGCAGACATGTTCATTTCTATAAATAATTTGTCAACAGTAGGAACTTTTCAATATCTCTTTTGATTGCAAGAATTTCTTTGAAAGTGGAATGGTAACGGTGTTATGAATCTAGGAATGTCCCATATTTGTAACTGCATACTCTTCTACTTCCGATTTTCTCTTCAATCAAAATTGTTGCCTAAATTTGTTTTATTTTCCATCATTGAGAAGGCTGGAAATCAACTCATTTTTTGCTCGGTTGTTTAGGTGTTACCAACATGTGGTTGGAGTGTATTGACCATCTTTAATGTGTGTGCCCAAGAATTCTACTTCTTGTACAATAGCCATGTTCTCTGAGACAACATGATTCCATATTGTTTAATAAACTCAAAGAATTGCTTAACTGAACACGATTTTCCTTTGAATCAGAGAACATGTCATCAATATAAATCAGGCCACTTCTTATAAGAGGTTGAAAGATTGAAATAATTGCCTTTTAAAATGAGAACAGGCTCTTTTTAGTCTAAATGGCATGACATCCACCGGTAATGATGATTTGGAATGCAAAATCCAATTTTTTCTCTTCAAGTGAATTCCAATTGTGAAAACCAAACATAGTAGACTCTTGAAGAAATGGCCCCTTATAAAGAAACTATTCAAAGATCTAGAAAGATGTGTTTGAAAGAGTCCAGAGAATTGGTACACTCTCCTAAGAAGGATCCAAGTTTCAATGAGGATTTACAATTTGCTTCAGATTCTTTTGAGACTTGCAAGACCCTCTAGCACTAGAAGATGAGACTTGGTGGCGCCGACATGACCTACCGTGTGACTTATGTAAATAATAAGTACCAGAAGCAAATTTGAGTATCTCGTGACTTTGCTGTCCCTAAATTCCTACTACCATATATTATTATTATCTTATAGATCTATCCATCTTGTCGTAAATTCTTTGCATAGTAGTGTACTGTGTTGTCAAAAAACTTTCTGTTTTATGTTTGCCATCTACTATGAAAGCAAATTCTCTACTTTAATAAAAGTAGTATCTTGTATGTATAGTACGTATTAAATTTGTGTATATAGAATGATTTTCATCTATATATAAAGGGGGCTTTTTCTTTTTGCTTGTAAGATGATCGGGTGTTTGAATAATGGTAAGCTAAGAATTTACTAGTTTTTGAAAGTCGTCTTTCAACAAGTTTCTAAATTGCTTTAAAAATTTAGTAAGAAGCTAAATGCTTAGAGCAATTTTTGATGCAACCGTAAATTGCTTTAAAAATTTTGCTAAGCATTGGTGTTTAGAAAAACATTTTCAAAACTAACAAACATTCATTCAAGCAGGTGAGGCAGGATGAAAAAGACATATAGGAGGTATAGATGTAGAGGCTTTGTTAGATATTTGTCTCAATGATTTAATAGGGGTAATTATCACTACAAAATTTTATTAAGCACACCATAATTTTCTTATTTACTTAAATATACTTAAGTAAAATTACATAATAAGGGTTTTAATATATTTTTTAATTAATTAAATTATTGTTACACCCCAAATATAAAACCTAATTTCTTTTTCCTTAACATCTCATTGCTTATAGCATTTTCGGGCTTTTCCTTTCTTCACAGTGGTCAGATAATTCATTTCCAGTTATTCTAACTCTAAAAGCTGGAAATGCGAACTCTATGCATGTAGCAATAATTAGCCTGAAGGGTAAATTCAGTGGACAAGTGTTACTTTGAAGGAATATTATATATTTTCATTCATTAGATTTTGAGCTATGAAAATAGTTTAAGAATTTTTTAGTTTCTGGAATAGAAAATATATGTAACTAACTGTGTCTTGATATCTTGATGCTATGAAAATAGTTCTAGGATTTATTGTTTTTGCAATAGTAGATATTTTGGTACCTCAATGTAGAAAGGAAATAATGTGGTTCTATTGATTGGATTAAATATGCAAATTATTGAAATGAGTAAAGCTCCAGGTTTGCTATTGGTCTATTTGTGCTCGTTTATCACTAGTTGTCCTTGTCTCTAGTTCTTAAGTATTTTTACCACCAGAATGAAGGGAGGGAGATTTTGCAGAGATCTAGAAATTTTGCCCTTATGAATAGGGCCCGGTGTTTCGTTTTCAATCGTTGTGAAATAATGAGGAAAAAGGTTGAGAAAATGAGGATTAATATTGGTGATAAGTACACCACAATATTGTATTCTTAGTTTTCAAATTTTGTTTTTATTGAATTAAGAGTATAATTGTAATTTTATTGGGCAATGAAACAGTTAAACATGGATTTGAAAGCCGTTGGTGAAAAACGTTTACTACAGCATAATGAATTAGATGAATTGATGATAGAAGCATATAAAAACTCAAAGCTTTACAAAGAATGCACCAAAAAGTGGTGTGGCTTACACATTCAGAGGCGAGAGTTTGAAGTGAGGTAAAAGTTCTATTATATAACTCAAGAATCAAGCTCTTCTCGGGAAAATTAAGATCGTGTGGTCGGGTCCTTAAACTGTCACAAAGGTTTTACCATATGGAGTCATAGAAGTCAGCTATGAAACAAATGGTACGGTCACAGTTAATGGACAAAGGCTGAAACACTATTGGGGCGGTGACTTCTCCAAGCAAAAGTCTACCGTTCAATTAGGGACACCAAATTGAAGCAGAAGTGGGAAAGTTGAGCTATCGATTATAAACTAGCGCTGGGTGGGAGACAATCCACTGTATCATTTTGATTTATTTTGCTTTTTACAATAACTTAGAAATTTTTCAATTTCACATTCATATTGTTGATAGTTAGGTCATCGATCATCCATGCATATCAAAATAGCATAAGCACTACCCTCACAAGCCCTATGCATCGAGCACGAGTTGGGATTGATTTGAGTTATCTTGGGTGATTGGGTGTGAAATTCACGCATTTCGAAGCACAAAGTTATTTTTCAAAAAAATTTCAAGGTTATTGTGTGATTTCAAATAAAAAATTGGTTTTGACACTAAGTCTATGGCCTACATGTCATTCATATGGTCTAAAAAAATGGAGATGTAGTCTATGACTACAACTCCATGTGGTCGCACCACCATAAACAGGGCCTAAATTGGCCCTGAAATTTTACTCTTTGCGATCGCACGAACTTGCTCTATGCGGTCGCATAGAGTATGTTTGAGAAAGAAAAAAAGAAAAAAAAATATTATTTAGTATTCTTATAAGACCCACGACACACACACACCCAACACACAACTCAACACACACAACAACAATTCACTACACAAATCATTGCATTATCAGGCATTTGAGTTGGTAAGGATGACTAATTCTTCAACATTAAGACCAAATTTCAAGGTAAGTCTTCCAAACCCTAATCTATCAAATTCGTTTTGAAGTTATTATGTTTTAAAGCTTTTGGAGTTTGATTGATTATGGAATACATGATTGTGAATGTGATTTGAATATATTGTGATTAAGGGGATGGAAGCTATAAAATATGCATTATCAAAATAGTAAGAAAACACCATGCACACAACATATTCGATGAAATGGCTAAGTGATGAGTTTTATGCAATTTTGTAAACCTTGCTTGTGTGGTGCATAACAAATGAGTTGAGTAGCATTTGCTAATGAGATATCATGGCAAAGGCATTAGAAAACACAAAACCCCAAATTGCACACAAGTGGGCATGACATGGCTAGGTCATGGCATCTCACGTCACACACTTCACCTTTTTATTTACCTAACCAAACGACCTCCAATCAACTTGAAATTTGAATAGTGCTAAACCAATATGAAAGCTTCCATATGCCCAGAGGTTACTCGGAAAAATTCCAAATTTTTTCGATGATGCTCAGGTGTGAAAGTCCTCACTTGGTCATGGGTGCACTTGAACAAGAAGAGCATGTTGGGCTTAGTTTTGTTGGTTTTTCTTATTTTCGCAACATTTATACTATCTTGAACCTAGTTTCGTGAATACTGCATACCAACATGTTATACATACATCTCGAAGTAAGTTTGGAAGATTCGTGCGTCACAGTTGTCTTTCTTGTTTTTCGCTCCTATTTTATTACACTCTGTGATTATTATATGAAAATTTTTCTTTTTGCAGGATGCTTCCAAAACGAACTTCAAAAGGGAAGGAAAAGGTCGGATCATCATTTGGGACAACACGCACTAGAGAGCCCGAAGAGGGCATACAGAGATTCCTAAATCCCGAGATTGCAGCCCGCTATGCAAACATCGTAAGTCGGTGGGCAATGATCCCAGAGCAGCCAGTGAAGTTAGATGACTTTCCCGATTTTGAATTGGTTACTCTGGTTGAAAATTGTGGATGAGAGGAAATAGTGGAGCAGCCACACCCTATGTATGAAAGTTTAGTTGGAGAATTTTATGCAAATTTCAATGCAGAGATTGACACACGAGGCTCCGATCATCTGCATCAGATGTGGGTTGGGGACAGTGGATCATGTTTTCACTAGAAGTTATCCAGGATTTTTATCAGCTTTCTTGGAACAACATAACCCGTACCCCAGGCGAATTTAATTGGAATGAAGTTGCAGAGATCCTATTAGGGCGATAGAATGCTTGGCCACTCCCAACCACTGAATGACACGAAATTGAACTGACACCATCCATAACTATATTGTGGCTGTTTATGTGCTATAATATTGAGCCGACCTCACATTGAACCACATTTACAGATCCCACGGTCGGGTTCATATATCACTTAGTTCGGGGAAACAAGATCGATATCGCCACACTCTGTTATGATTAGATACATAATTTGGGTATTTGGGGAGACAGACACAGTTCTTTAGCCTCATCTGCGACATATGCAAGGTTGCAGGTGTCACTATCCCATCAGGGGAGGCGCCCACTAAACCCAACCCCCTATAAGGCGCACTACATTGGAGGTTCAGGACAGAGCTAGGATAAAGCAGGGGGAGAAAGCAGAAAATGAGCGCCGCAGGCAAAAACAAGTAGTAGCAAGACAAACAGCTGAGGATATAGAGATGCCACAAGGCCCCCCCTTATCGGTTGATGTGGACACAGAGTCGTTGAGACAGATCTTCGTCACCACGATAGGTTTCAGTAGAGATATCCTGAGCCTTCAGTAGGCATTTGGGGCCATGACCACCAATGTACATAAGATACAAAGTGACCTCTTTACCTCTAGAAATTTCTCAATGGATGCCAGGAGCGAAGCCCAGGCAGCGAGAAAAGAGATTGACACCATGAATAGTCGGCTGAATATGCATATGG